AAACTGTGAAGTCCACTGAGACAAATGTAACATTTGTGATATTGGGCTATATAAATAAACATTGATTGATTGATTTCTCTCTTGCCGGTTATACCACAAGGTGAGTTCCTTTTTACTTCCTGCTTCTTCACACACATGCTCTCCAGTACAGGTTAGCTCTGAGTGTTAGATATGCTAATGTAAACACCGACCATATTACGTCCAAAACAGTCGGGCATTGTTTCTGATAGCAACTTTCTGATAGGGCCGTGGGTCCACATTTCAGATATTACGTCATATCGGACGCAAATCTGGATCAGCTCCGTTGTTCCCCCGTTTTTAGAGATTTGGGTACGGAGGAAAAGAGAGAGGGTTTTATTTTCTGACGCTGCGTGAGTTCCCCGACACACCGGGGAAACATATTTATGTATAAAAGACATCAAAAAGTGCATTTTGCATAATAGGTCCCCTTTAAATGATAAATGATAAATGATGAGTGTTGTGTGGATATTTTGGGAGCATGGGTCCCCTTTAACTAACGTGCATTTAAAAAAAAAAGAGGAATGGTTTCGGCGAAAACTAAAAGGTACCATGGGGTCGGATTAGAATTTTCCAAAGGGGGATTTGTTTAGCATGAAACACTTGAAATAACTAAAGGACAAGTTAAACTAGAAAGTAAGAAGAAAGTGAGTTCATAGAAAACAATTTCTGCTAAAAAGTGAGCAATGATTGAGAGTCAGAGCTAAACATTTCAGATGTATCTCACCCTGTAACTTTTGATTAATGTACCTTTGCTTTTAAATGCCATTTTATAATATGTTTCTTAATGCTCTTAATGTCTTGTGTTGAAATGTGCTATATAAATAAACGTTGCTTTCAATGAAAATACTAGTAAAAAAAAAAAGCCACAAAGCAAGATATAAGGAAAACCCACTCAACACAAACAAGTGTTCTGGTGCTACATTACATTACATGTCACATGCTCAATACTGTGGACAATCCCCACAGGAGCACTTTGGGGTGAAGTGTCTCAGGGACACAACGACATGCTGACTGCAGTGGGGTTTGAACCTGATCCCAACACCAAGGCTCTATCCACTGCGCCACACGCCTCCAATGTGGCGCTAATTTGAGATGTGTTAAATACCAGTGTTAATGCTGTCTTTTGATTATGTACAGTATTTCCAATTTTCACTCTTGTCACATCTTTAGCAACTCAGTTTAAAAGCAAGTTGAGATATAAGAGATATGAAGGAGGAGAGGGAAACAGGAAGAGGAGGAGGAGGAAGAGGAGGAGAGGATGTGATTTACCCGAAGGTTGAGAGTTGAGAGGGTGGAGATCCTCTCACATGTCTTTATCCCTGAAGCTCTCAGCCTCCAGCCTGAGGGGAGGAATCATATCTGGGTTAGACGGAGGCCATAAAGCAGATCACACAGATATGAAACAGTGACAGTGAACACAGCGTTAGAGCAGAGATGTATCCGTGTACAGTCCTGAGTTGACATGTTGTTTATTCCTTTGGTTTATAGTTCCTTACGTTCTGTGTGGTCTTTCAGTGGTTCGGTTTTAACGTGAATGCATTTAGTTAACCTCACGATTAGTCCATTTGCATTGATTTCATTATGTTTGATCGGTACAATAAGAAAAGACGAAACAAGATGTTAAATGCAGGTTTTAAATGCGTCTGTTTAAATGTGTCTTCAATGATACCGTTTTTTTACCTTTCAACATGTAATTTTGTTGTGTTCCTTTTTATTCTACGTTTATAAAGTTCAACATAAAAGCCACAAAATGATACAGCATTAGAATAAAGTATACACAGCGTTAAAGCACAGAGATGCATATGTGCTGAGTCCTGAGTTGTTGTTTACTTCATTTGATTCTGTGTCCACTTGGAGTTCTAACCGGTTACATTGGCGACACACTTCACCTCACATTGACAAATAATGAAATTATTCTTAATGCTTGCTCCCAAATCCCCCAATGAGGTCATAACGATGTGACTATTCTCTTCGTATTTTACACTCATCTTAATGTATACTGTACCTATGATGCTGTGAGAGAAGGAAGTGTTGAGATGGAGAGCTAAACCGTGGCAATGCTTAGAATCATTTGTATATGAAGTCAGCATTTCTCTCCTAACAGGGTCTATGCAGGAATCCTGAAGTCACATGTAAAACCGTTTAAGACCCTTTCCATACATTTTAAGACCTCATTGCCACTTGGAGTTCTAACCGGTTACCTTGGCGACACACTTTATTTTTATATATTATATACATTGACTATACAGTTAGGGCTGCTCAATTAATCGTATTCTAATCGCAATTACGATTATGGCTTGCAACGATAACGAAAACAACGCAATCGATTATTTTTGTATTATTATTATTAATTTTTTTTTTTTTTTTTTTATTAATTTTTTTTTTTTATTGGTTTTTCAGTTGAGTTATACTTAAAGTTCAGGGTAATCAACTAAAAACATACTGTTCACATTTTTTTTTCCTCCAATAAATTGATGTTTTCAAAGTAAATGGATAATCGTTTTTAATAATCGTGATATCAATTATTGACCCAAATAATCTAGCAGCCCTATATTCAGTATTGATTGTCCTTCCTCCTTATCTTCCAACCATTTGGACGCAGACTTGCATTTCCCCATAACGATGTTGTTTAACAACCGGCGTAAACGGACCTTCGCGCGCTATCAAGCAGTGAGCGTGCGATGTCCTGTTCAGATGACGTCAAATCCAACGGGATGCCATAAATAAACTACACAGAATCACACTACACACCTACGCAATGATTACATTCAGACAGACTGTAGAATACAACCTCTTTGGACCATTTATATACTTATTGAAAACAAGCTACAAAATGTAATACCTTGGAAAATGCCGTTTAATACTGTTTAATAGCCTTCATTTTCTCTAAATTGATTTATCAACATGCTTTAAACACAGCGTTAAAGCATGGGGTCTGGAGTTTTGAGATGTTTGTTTATAAGAATACAGCACAAGTGTGTCATTATACAATTTTCATTAGGTTTGACAGCACTGATACAATAACACACCCTTTTTAAAGAGTCCCGTTTGCTCTTCCCTCCCTGTAGTGTGTTCTATAGGTTTTAGTGCATGTAAATGGTCTTCAAAAGGCTAAAATCCTGTGTNTTACATTCAGACAGACTGTAGAATACAACCTCTTTGGACCATTTATATACTTATTGAAAACAAGATACAAAATGTAATACCTTGGAAAATGCCCTTTAATACTTTTTAATAGCCTTCATTTTCGCTAAATTGATTTATCAACTTTTAATACTTTTTAAGACCCCGCGGACACCCTGATTCAGTTTAATATTTAATATTCCATCCCTCACATACTTATGTATATATAATAACTTGCTTTATATTTTGTTTTGTTATTGATAATTTGTAAATTCAACATGTATATTTTCTACTTTGTGGTTTATTTCTAGTCTTTTACATTTGTATTGTACAATGCCATGTCTTTGATGCTGCTGCAACACAAACATTTCCCAAATTGGGATCAATAAAGTACATCTTATCTTATCTTAGTTCCTATAGAGCTGTCTTACACATTTCCCCTAACATGTAACAAGATCTTAGGGTGTGTAACTGTCAGTGCTACCATTCAAATCACACCCTTCCACATGCAGAACATGTTCCTGAACACTTCAAAGACTCCACGTGTAATAGAGACTTTGGATGCTGTTATCAGTTCATTACCTTGCCATCTGTCCCAGTGGGCAACAATACAAGATGTCACAGTCGTCACCTCATGGTGTGTGCAGTGATCAGGACCCGGTCCAGAGTTTAGACTTTCCTTCTGCCTGAAGGAGAGAAGAGGGAGAGAACACAACAGCGTATTTAACATGTTAGCAGGTGAACAAACTAATGTAGAAAAGCTGAAACATCTGAACACCTTATTGACAACAATATATGTACATGTTTTTTCTCAGTCGCTCAAGGATTTGCTGATTTTCTCTGTCTAATGTGACGGTTATATTTTAAATGTAGTACAAGGAATTTGGAGGTGTCACCTTTGGCCATTTTCACTGTTAGTATCTAACCCTTTTATAGCACAACATAAAAAACACATTACAGGTATTTTAGAAAACCAAAGGGGAGATAAATCAACAACAAAAACACACAAACATTGATGGTACAGTCTTTGAGTTAGTTGTGTTTCTATTCACGCTTTTTACTTTACTCTAGTTACTATAGCTTTAAAATACTATTTAAAAAGGTCCCATGTCATGCTTTTCTGGTTATTACCCGTCCCCTTGTGTGTTATGAAGGTTTTTCTGCATGTAAACGGTCTGCAGAGTCACAAACCCTCAAAGTACACCCTGTAGCGAGTAAAACTCTAACACAGAGAAGACCTGTCTATGCTGCCCCAGAACGCCTCGTTGGAGATTTCTCTTTTTCCATTGTTTTCTTCCTGGGTTCTGTGACGTGTGAACACCCAAATCAACAACAAATGA